CGGATGCTTAAACTTAAACTTTTAAACCGCGTTCTCCTGAGCCACATGGGGCTGTCCGGCGTTCATTTTCTCTCAACTTCAAAATTTAAGAAAATGCATTAAGAAAACGGTTTGCCCGATCACAATGAGTCGAACGTATCCGAGCGAATCGGACTGGAATCATGTACTAATATGCTTTGCTAGGCACAATCAACGTGGACCGATTCGAAACTGAAATATTAAGTAGAATGAAATAAAAGCGAGAAGCGCTGGAAGAAAGGTGGCAGTGGAGAATGCCGGAAACGCGTCATTGTCTGTCTTATTATATTTTAGTATGTCAGTGCTCGGTCTTCTATCCCCTTGTTCCACAATCCGAAAGAATCGACCAATCCATCGGTCGAAGCGACACAAACGAGGTTAATCCAATACTGCAGGCAAAAGAGACGCATCGGCAAACGGAGAACCGATCTGAGACACGCGGTCGCGGCGGCGGAGGAGGCACAGAGTCAAAGGGAGAGACGGAACTGAAGGAAGACAAAGCTCAGGTCTCGTCTACCCAATTCAATATCATTAAATATTTCTTTTTCGGAAGGAAAATGTTGCAGCAACGTCATTCTCCATTTTAAGCTATCAGTTCTCCCATAGGATACCATCACAGGGCGTAAAGAAACTCTCCAATGCCAAATCAGCACATAACGTCCCAGACGAAGAGTCTTTTACCCTGTAAGTCAGTTTGAAATGGCTGGGAAGAAAAATTGGACTTGGCAACTGGGCGAACTGACAGGGATTCGGGTGCTTTCTCATTCCAAGAGTTAAATATGCGTCACATTAGGAAAATCGTTTCTTCGCATCTTCAGCATAAAAAATTAATGCCACGACCATATTATCATGAAGTAGTGTGAAGTCCATTCTTGAAAGGCTTTCCCCTCTCTTTAACCACGAACTCCCCCTTTCCTCTTCTTCCTTCTCGATGGGACTCAATCCAGAGTCATCCTGAACTTGAGTGGCTTTTATCCTAAACCACGAACTGAATTTGGGTCAGGCGTGAGGCCTACCTGCAAGGTCGATAGGATATGTCCGGGGTTTTCGAAGAATCTCAGTGAGGACGCTTGATTTTGAGCCTCTATTTGGATTTTATGGAACCATCTTCGTTCAAGATAGAGCAGAAGCTGTCGACCGTGAAGAAAAAGGCAAACGACCTCGAGGACAAATTCAAGAGGGAGAAGAAAAGGAAACGAAAATGATCACCCGCATGATCGAGACTCGACTCGAGAAAATAAGATCTCAGGTCTCGCATTCCACTTCATTCTCATTTGCCATCGTGTTGCTCAATCGAACAAGCGATTCGGAGGGAAGAGCCTGGCTCCTGGTCTTCGGTCGACGAGTTGCTGCATCAGTTGGCCGACGTGAAAGTGGGGCCAGCACCCGCCGGCGCCAATGAAGAAGATGCAGCATCCAAATCTCAGATGCCAATCGAGTCGTCCTTCCCCGATCGCAATCGCCTCAGGTAGTAATTGCACGCATTTCTTCCAAACTTGAATATAACTAAATATTCTTGGTGTAGCGGGGCGAATTAATATACAAAGATACCTTCATCTCCATATATACGAGGTATGATTACATATTCGATTCCGAAATGGAATTCCTAAACATTTTCCACCTCCATTCCAGAAATGAGAACTTCAAAGTGTTGAGGCAAATGAGTTTACTGAAAGCTATTCCTTCTCGAATGTGGTGTTCCTATAGCACGCGATGAAATCTTCGAAATTCCGGACAATGGTCGTATTTTGAAGAAACGGTGATGCAATTTGGACGTGCTCAGAGTGGGGCAAAAGTCACTATACGGTACAGATGTTGAACGCGTGGAACGTGTAAACACGTCGTTGAACGTGGCCACCATTCATAATACCACATTCCCTTCGGTTTAACGACCTGACGCGTGAAAAAGATTGGACATGATTGGCGTCAGTCGATCTCTTTTTCCTGCTGGAAAGAGGAAGGAGTATTTAATATAATACAGGATGGTATCGTTAACTAGGTGCCTAGATGCCGAGTTGAGTGTAAGAACGACCTTGTCCTTGTGACCTTGACCTTGTCACCTTCATTAACGGGAACAGGAAAGGTGCGGTCGTCATCCACGTCTATTCGCGAGTGAACGCGGCAGAACTGCAGGAAACGGAGCGGAGAATCGCCGAGCAAATGAGCCGTGTGGCTTTCATCGATGAGGATTCGGATGCGGAATTTGCGAAGGAGTCCTTCGAGTGCGACGCGAGCAGCGATTGTTGCATCTTTATCTTGTCGCCGACGCGTGCAGATTTGGTTGCCATTTGTGAAATTGTGTACCGAGGTGAACCGCCACCGGAGTTCACCGAAGACTGACTGGTATACCAAATGGTACACAATACGGTATGGTATCCCTTCTTATGGCATGCCAAACCACACGACATATCATGCCATACGGTATCGTAAGGATGACGATGGCCTCATGTCGATTGAAAAGATGAGAATGAAGCATATTCTTCTGTAAGAAGATTTTCAATATTTAAGATATTCAATTATGAATCCTGCATACACCCCTATACTAATCCTCATTATGTTGTACTGCGATAGGAAACATCATCTGACGTCCGCGAAAAATCCATTTGAAACCTGGTGAAATGCGTCAATTATGGAGCGAGAAAGCCAGTTGAAACATCATCAAGTGGCGATTCATTTCTATTTCTAAAAAAAGAAAAGGCGTTGACACGTCCACGGCCAAGCCATTCTCCAAGCCATTTGAATTTCTATCCCTGCCATTCCGAGGCATTCGTCCACTTCGCAGAGGAGCCCGTAATCCCTTGCTCCTTTCAAGCAAACACAGGAGAACTGAACTGCTGATGCATTAGCTTAATCTCGTTATTAAAATAAATGCGCATAGCTATTCTGGAGAAAATATCTGAGAGAAAATGTTGTTGTAGCTCTTATTACTTTACGCTCATACTCATACTAAGTTTTATGTTCAAAATTATCACAGTTCAATGTTAGCGGAGAAAATGGCGTCATCTTGACTAAACAGTTTATTGTTATTCACAATTTTCAAGAATCCCATTGGAATCATCATTTCTACTCCTGACAGGTTATTTCCTGGTAGATTTGTCAGACTCTGAGTACGCAAATGAGGAATAGATGACTTTTGAGTCATGAATAATAAAATTTCGTATCTCGACTTGATTTTATTTGCACGGTCGCAAAGTATGAGACTTGAGAAAATCGGTTTTAAAAAAATTCCCTCATTGGACAAGGAGGCAATCCTTAAAAAATCTCCACACATAATTTAAACGAATTCTACGACTTCAGAAAGATTCTCGAAAAGCAGAAGCCGCCAGACGGTCATTTATTGAAATCGCAGGGAATCCGTGACTAGAGGCCCGACTAGACGGGAGGAGATCCTTGGACGTAGACCAGGACGGGTTGGAAACTGGCCGCCAGGTTGTTGGATCGGAGGCACCTCGTGTGGTTCGTGTCTTCGCATCCCGGCGCCTCAAACTCCATTGCGCCGTGCATGAGGGCGAAGAGGAGGAAAATTGACAGTGAGATGCAAACCAGGAGTCGGATGTATCTCTGGGAGGAGGACCTGGAAAATAGAAAAATGTGATTTTAAAAGGCGCTTCATTTGCCCTATCCACCTTGGAGTCCAGATGTGACATTTATTACGCTATTTCCTGCCAGAATTTGGAGGATCCCGAAGCAACGTGTTATCTACATGTTCTTGAAAGACAGGGCACTTCCTGAGAGCCTCATGGCATCATCATTGATTTCCGTGGGAAAGTGGAACCATCAGGTTGCTTCGTCCTGCATTTATCAAGGATGCGTTACGAGACCATGCATGCTTCTGCTTTCCTATTTCCACTATTGGTCGTTGGGATGCCCCAATTTGTACTCTCTCGACTAAACAAGGGAGAGTGCTTTGAGTTAGCAGCCAGCTTAAGCATACTGACGCGCTCCTCTGATGTGATGAGGCAAAATACGAAGTGCATGTTTTCACTCCTGACCCAAACAGCATGTTTATGTTAATTTTACGTAAACAGAATGTAAATGTTTTGTCAATTTTATATCATTTTTACGCAAACCGTTGTCAAGAAAATGTCAACATGTTTGTAGAAATGTCACCTCTGTGATACGTAAATGGTGACGTAAAATTATCGTAAATTTTACGTAAAATTGACATTCCCGTTTGCATTCCAAACAGCATGTTTATATTCATTTTACGTAAGATTTGTGTTAATTTTCCCTTGGCATTCATGCGTATTTAACGAGCCAATCAGTACCTTTGAAGAGAATTGATATACTGAATCTCCTATTCCTTTATGTTCTTCAGAACTCTTGGGTGGCTGGACGAGTTCACGA